ATATGCATCCTGAACAAGTATGCTTTACTTTTAAACAAGTGTGCTTTTACTTGAATTGGACTGCATTCACCAACCATCCAATAATAGTTTAGGATTCAATACCTATGTTCGAACTAGATAATTAAGCATTACAGGTATAACCACCATCTTATAGAATTTTCTCTTAAGTTTGAGGGGGACTTTTCTACCACACAACAAGTTTAAAAAATTCCTTCACTTTAACCATCCAACTTGAATACTATTAATAATAAACCTATCTATTTCACCATCACTCAAAATAATAGGCTAAAAAAATTTAAAATATATACTCTTGTTAATGACATGAAAAAGCATACACCTATCTTTTTCACCTTGACGTAATCCAACAATCTATGCTCGATAACTCTCTCCCACATCTTAGATTCAAAAAGTTTGTGAAATAAATAATTTGATATCTAAAAATTTCATCAAGATTTGTGCTGAATTAGATGCAATTTTAGGTAACAAATAAAAGTTCTTAAATAAACTTAATAATTATCATAATTTTTAATGTATTAAATAAAATAAAATTAACATTTTTCAATAAAAAAACATATATGTATTAATAAAAACTATGAAAGTTTCTAGAAAAATATTAGACAATATAAGATAACTATGCTTAATTAATATAAATAAGCTTGATAGCATATAAATAGTAAACTTATTGATATAATTATGAAACTTGTGCTCATATAAATTTTACAATAATACTAATATGCAGTTCTAATATTAATTTTTTTTATAATTAATACAAATAATAAAGATCAATAAATTAGATAAATATAAAGCTAGTCCAAATAAATTCATAATAATATTAAAAACATAATTAAGATTAATTTTATCCTTGTATTATAAATAATTTTATAATAATATAAAAATATAATTAAGCTAAATTTTTTATCTAAAATAAAATTTATTTCCACCCACCACAAGGGATAAAATATAACATAGAACAATGAAAAACAAAAACACTCTCTTGACATATCTCCTTTGAAGGTAAATCAACCTTTTTTATTACCACATAACAATTGGAAGCACACTTTCACTCAAGCTATGGAATTAAAGTTGATGAACAGATATTAACTCTTGCATACATATCCTTAATGTAATCCAACAATCTATGCTAAAAAATTCTCTCCCACAGTTAGCAAAGGAAAAAAAAGAAGCAAACTTTAATCAATTCGGGGTGTTATTGATCGATGGATTTTGCGGGTAGAATGTGGGCCGTGATCGGCGGCAAGAATAAGGGCAAGTTCATCTGCCGAAGATAGGGTGTCGGTGCCCAGATTCCTACCCAGGTAGTTGGAGGCACGATTACGAGTGATGAAGAAATGGATACGCGAAGAAATGAAGAGGAAGGATCGATTTGGCCAATATTAGGGAAAATTTTAGTAGTTTTTTGGCGATTTAGACCGCTAGAAAAAAAATCACTTAACATCGGCAGCCTAAGTCGTCAATAATGGCACCGTTAAAATAGAAAATTGACGCACCATATAAAGTATTATTACAAAGGTGTATTATTACAAAGGTGTATTATTACAAACCGCCGGTAATTCCGGCGGTTATATGACCGCCAGTAAATCCTGAATTTCCTGTAGTGGCGAAGATAATGGTGAAGACGGATATTATAAAATGAAATCCAAATAGGAATGTTATGAAATTCAACCTCAATATCCAATGAAGGTGTCTACTAAACTAATTTCATAAAATAATTACTCACAAAGTAGAAATAATGAGCAAAAACTCTACAGTAATACAAATCATTGAAAAGCTTGATCAAAACATTCCTTAGATTGAGGATAGTGACTGAACATTCACAATTCAATTTTAGATTGAATTTTTTTTCTGAAAGCATCAATGGAAGGCCTTTAGACTGAAAATTTTCGAACTAAATTGAATTCAAAAGGAGCAGCGACACATAGATTTCCTCCTCCAAAATTTGCAACACCAGTAACCCACGGTGAGTAGAGATTTTAAAATTGATGAAAGAAACTAAACTATGTGATGCACCAGATAAAGTATCTTTAAAGGAAAGAGAAGAAGCAGACCCATTCAAAAATCATGGATCTTTAAGTCGGTTAATTGATGTATTACTGGAAGAACTGAGAAACAATCAAAATAAGCATATAAAATAGACTCTACAAGACAAAAAAAGGAAGAACTTCCCTAAATACGAATCAGGTGATGAGGCCACCCAAGTGATAGAGGCAGAACCATCTAAGGGAAAAACCATAGTAAAGTAGGAAACATAACGACCTCTCAAACTTTTAAGAAAATTTAGGCTAGGCTTTACTTGCATAAATACAAACATTCTTCCAGATTTTAGAACAGATGGAAATAATGGGTTTCCTGGGGCGAATGTAATTATGCCTAAACTAAAGAGATAATGGCATAGTTAAATTGTAAATTCTACTAATAATAGAGCACTTATAAGCATACTATAGGGCTTTAAAATTAGGAAGGCTGATCCCATAATTTTCCTTAGGTTTATAGTTTCTTTCCTATGAGATCATGTGTAGTTTTCTAAATTCCACATAAGCAAAATATAAAACCCGGCCTAAACATATTGTCCCCAAGACCTTACAAAAAACTTTAGGAATAACAGATCCACTAATCCAGTATTCAATAGTATTCTAAATGGTGAATCTATTGAATTAAGGTCTACTTATAAAAGAGAAAATATTTGTTTTCCAACTAGCAATGTTGATAAAAAAAATAGTAGAATGGGTTGAAATCAATAACCATGGGTCTCTTATAAGATATAAAAAGACCAAGATAGGTTAACTTAGAGCAAGATGTTTGAATTTTAAGAGCTTTACACAAGTCGTAGGAGTAAGGGAGATTAGAAGGAAGAATAAGAAAGTTTTTTGTGTGGTAAATATGAGGGCCATAGACATAAGAGTACCTATCATGAATCAAATTAAGATGATACTAGTTGTCAATAGATTCCTTCCCAAAACCTAACAAGTCATCAACATAAAGTAGGTGAGATAGTTGAAAGCCCCCCCAAACTAAAGCCCACTAAGAAAAAATTGGCTCTACAATCATTAATGATTAACGAGAAGGTGTCCATAATAATGCAAGATAGGTAAGGACTAAAATGAACAGCTTGCCTCATATCCACTACATAAAAATCTGCAATAATCGTCGGACTTTTCGGCAAATACACAAGCGCTAGAAACAGCGGTAGCCTAACCGGCGCAATGTCCGCAGGTAATCTTACAGTGGAATTTATAGAAAAAATTCTACTAGTACATTTTCGGCGTATATTTTTGTTGTGTTTTTGTTGGCATATAAAAATTTTTGGTGTAATTTCCTTCTGTTATTACCGGCAGAATCAACAGTGTAAATTGCGCTGGCTTACTTAAACTCGACAAATATATTCTGATGTATTATTTGTCTGTAATAGCACCGATGGATAATCTGCTTGAATGTTTGATAGAAAGAGCCCTATTTTGATCTCTCTACCATCTTTCTTCTCATTTATTTCCCTCTTCATTTTGGTTCACTCCACTTGCGTATGAGAGATGTCCCAAACACCTTGTCTATTGCAACCAGTCCATAGCCGACTTTTACCGCCGAGCATGCCCATATTCATCACCATCGATTGTCGAAGTTCACCGCCTCTGTTTCATGCGTTAACGAAGGTCTCTGCCTCTGTTTTGTGCGTTACCTAAGGTACATTCGCCCCCTCCATTAATTTTTGTTTGAAAATTCCCGAAAATATTCCATTTTCCATTAATTTTAAAATCCACCAGTAATAGAGCATTTCCATGTAGTGAACAATGGAGGGCTTATAGAACCCCTCTAATCCACCATCCATGCAAATAGAAAATAAATATCATTGATGCCAGCCTTGATCCAAAAATAAATAAATAAGGAAATCTATTTTGTGCTAGATGATAAAATCCCTAAAAATTGTGTCAAAAGCCTTATGTGTATCAAACTTGGCATAAAGAAGCTTCCCTTCAGTCTTAATGTTGAATTAACGAAAAATTTCAGAAGCAAGGATGACATTATATGTAAAGATCCTATTATGAATAAAACCATCCATAGAATGGCCAATAATACATGATATAACATACTTCAGCCTCACTGCTAAGATCTTTGCAATAATTTTTTAAAGAACATTGCAAAGTGATATGGACCTGAAGTTAGATACGTTGCTAGCACGAGAGGATTTTGGAATAAGAGAAGTTGCAGTAGCCTTAGCCCTTCTAGAAAGGTAGCCATTTGAGAAAAAAGCTCTGACTGCTTTACAAATTTATTATTTTAATCGAAATGACTAAATTTGAACTCTAATTTTGATCTGACAAATGTAGTAGCCTATTTGATCTATGTCTTACAAGTGCATGAGAGGAGCCATAAAAGAAGTGATTCTTTGAAAAAAAAAAATTACCACACCTTCCCAAAGCAATAAACTTCAAAGCCCTTCACAATCACTTATAAAATGATAATATATAACATCAAAACTCTTAAATATTAAATTGTCATGTATGAATTCTTCATATACGGACATTTTTGTGGAATATTTATCATTCAAATATCTATGATATATCAAATTTCTCATGAAGAAATAACTAAAAAATTAATGCCCCGTCTCCTTTTAGGGGGTGGAACCCCTAATTGGACAGGGTTAATAAATAATAGGCCCCCTGTCAATCCTATATTTTTCCCTAGCCAAGTTCTTTCATGTGCTTCGTTCGTTGAGTACACGTGCAATTATACCCAACATTTTTTCATCTACTCTCTCTCTCCCTCTCTCTCTCTCATCTTCCTTGTTGGTTTCATCTATTCCAGAAGAATGAGGCTCTGCACATGTTTGAAGGATGAAAATCAAATGCATAAAATCTGCACCCTTATGCCAGCTATTTAAACGAATGCACGTGGATCGTCATTAATGGTTTCAAATCAACATTATTTTCAGAAGCCGCAAGGGGCTTCTTCTGAAGCCATGTTTCAGGGAAAGCATAAGAAAAATATTAATATAAATGGATGATGATCTCCAGTTGCATGTTGAATGAAAAGCTACATTATGTTCACGTACATTTCAAACATTAGCAACCAGTTGGATGTACGCATCCAACCTATTTCCTATGGATTTACCGCTTTACAATACAAAGCTTCTATTTTTCTCATTTATTCCCAACATAACTTTTTTTTTCCCTTTTTATTACATACATTGGAAGTTTCACCATCAATCTTCGTTACGACTTTATACATTACAACCTTTGGTCTTTTTTTATTTTTTCGAAGAAAAATACTATATACACGCACTAATGTAAATTTCAATGATGATCCATCTGGACCATCTCCTTATTTTTAGTAAATGTTTCTATATCCATAAATTATGCTATAATATAAATTGTGAATATGTTTTCCTACGCATGAGAAGCATTTCATTTTCTAAAATGGAGCTCGATGAGGAACGCCCTTTCTCCGGGAAGTCCGGTAGTTGACGATAGGTAGTGCGGTTGGCGAAGTGGAGCAGCTTCGGCGGCCAGCACAATCATCATCCCACAACCTCCAGTCTTCCACCGCCACCGCCGGTGGCGGAAATAAGTTGATGCGACAGCTGAAAGCCGCCGTCTTACGCAACTTCTTCGGCGTGGACGACTCGTCGGACTCCGAGCCATGGCTGAACTTCTCGCCGGCTTTTGGGTGATGTGAGAAGGTAAGCTCCGGGTCTCGCTTCATTCCGCTAAGCTGCCGTAAAAAGAGAAGCTAAAATTATTAGGCGACCACTCCTAACAGCAAAGATTGTATCTTTATAGTGCAATAGCTTCAATAGATGAGGAAAACATTGATAGGTAAATTGGGAAATATAGTTGAGCAAACAGAAAGTATTGGAGAAGGGGAAACCTTGCATCCGAGGGAACAGAACCGGAAGGCGTCGAGGAGGCTCCGGCAACAAATCTCGCAAGTGTTGGTGACGCCCTTTCCCGGCCTCGGCTGCGGCCTCTCATTCAAAAATACGATCTTGGCACTGTTGATAATGTAGGATTGTACGCAGGAAATGTCAATAAATTTTGACACTTCCGCTACCCGGATCACGTTGTGGTATGAGGATCGCCGAATCTGAACCCAATATTGGATATTGCATAAAAAAATTTCATCAATAAGAATAGATGAAACAAACAAGGAAGATGAGAGAGAGAGAGAGAGAGAGAGAGAGAGAGAGAGAGATAAACCTGGACGACATGGTGGTCTTTGTGATGAGCGAGACAATAAGAACAGAGCGCGCTACCAGTGCAATTCAAGCAGTACATGTTGCATTCGCTCTTGCTGGAGTCGCTGTGAACTTTGCAGGGGACAAAGAAACTCGCTCTTAAAAGAGGACACAGCCATGGCGGTCCCCTGTCTTTCTCTCCCAGTTCCATCAATTGACCACCCTATAAAAATCTTGAAAATCAGCTAACATCTTACCAGTTTAATCAATCCGAACCTAAATTCTAGGTAGCTAAATTACCATTACTTTCTAATGATTCGTCCTCAAAAAATATCTGTTTTAGCAATTTTTAAAGCAAGGGCTCTCTATACAAGATGGAAGAAGGGAGCCAAGGGGCATATAACAGAGGAGAATCAAAATATCATTTTCTCACGAATCAAGAAAAACATGGATCGATGGAAAAAAATTTATTCGGAGGATCAAATGCTACCTTTATGATAGAATCCAGAGTCGAAGAGAGGATAATTCCTTCCTAAAATCGATGTTGCCGTCGCCAAGCTGGAGAGAGAAAGCGACGCCGAGCAGCCTTAAACGTACCTGAGGAGGGAGAGAAATGACTGCGGGGAAAGTTTTCAGGAAATTTATAAAGCGGCACCAAAAGAATACTGAAACGAAGCGAGAATTTTCCCAAGCGGTTTTTTCATAATGAATATACCGTTGGATTTCTTATCCGCAATAAATGGACGGTAAGACGGTGTTAACGAACTGGTAATAATAACTTTTATTATTTGAAACGCGGAATATTAAAAAAAAAAAATTAACGAACGCCAGACAAATTGCATTACGGTCATGCTTTCTTTATTTTCTTGCAAACGACGAAATTTGTTTTGCAAAGCTACGAAATGGCATATCAAAGGACGAGATTTCTTTGTTTTTCACCGTGATATCTCATAATAAAGTCTAATAAAAATCAAATGTCATTATTCTGCATTAATTATGGCAGAATCTCGCCGACTTCCGGTAGATTTTTACTAAATCATATTTCAATAAATAAATAAATAAAACTCTGGAGACTAATGAGTATTTTAATTCGGATCTATGTTGCACCGATACGGATACGGCGATACGGATACGACACGATACGGATACGGGACACGCCAATTCTTAAAAATACATGATACGGATACGGCGCGGATATGCCATTATAATATATAAATAATACATAAAAGTTAAGAAAGTAATCAAAGTAATATTTGAAATGACAAAAAATTTGAATTAAAAATAAGCATTAAATATTTAAATGTCTAATACAACAACAAAAACAAGAAGATAGATTGTCTAGCACATGAAATTTCAACTATTCAATAGAAGGAATAATAGGATTAGCTTCTTCAGCGGTTTGTCTTTGAGTTTCTATATCATCTTCAATAAATATCATAGCTTCTAATTCAGACTCATCAAGTGAAAGATTAGCAATTTCTAATATTCTCATATCCTCAAGAGATTCAAATCCAACTCCAGCCACATCCCACATCATGTTGTCTCCTTCTATATAAGTTGGAGTTTTCCTTAAGAGAAGCCGAAGGTTTGTATGCACATAAATTAAATCTTCAGTCCGTTGTGGAGTAATTTTATTTCTCTTCATTAATTAAATGAACGAGTATGTGCTCCAATTTCTTTCACAACAAGATGAGGATGAAACTTGGCCAAGCAAATTTATGACGATTGTTTGAAGTAGAGGTGTTGAAGCTCCATGTATAATCCATCACATTTTTGGATCAATTCTCCACCTATCACGCAATGACTCTTAGTCACCAAAGTCCTCTAAATAACAAAAAAAAAAAAATTAGCAAGCTTAATATTGATACTTCTTCTCTCCTCCTCATTTGAAAAATAATGCTTCAAACATGTCTTCCTCATATTTGAAATTTCTAGATCTTTTTGTGAAGAAATTCTTTGAGGATTCTCTTGAAGTCATTCTTTAGTTGAATATCTTCAAAAAATATTAAAATAAAATAATGAAAAAATATTGAAATTACTAAACAACAAATTATGAATTAATAATGAAAAATGTTGAAATTTACTTGGAATTTAGTGAGTGAGCCAAGCAATGTAAATGTGTATTACTTTTGCTCCACCTATCTTCAAGAATAGCATAAATAACATCTCAGAAGCTTGAGTCTTCATGAAGTGCCTTCCTCTCATGTCTATATATAATTTCTTTTACTTTAGCAAGCATTGAATCCCACATCTCATAAATGAGATGTAAACAGGACTTATCCGTATCAGTTACTCTTAACATCGCATAAATTGGATATGTGAAATTTATGATGTATTCAATCTCATCCCACCATAAATCATCTAAAAACTTCTCCTTTATATATCTAGCTTTTCTAACATCATCTTCCCTATAACAAGATCATTTTTACTGATCACCATAGCTTGAAGACCATTTTTTATTTTTTAAATCTTCTCAACATCACTATAATCGAGATAAACCGAGTTTCAACAACTGCAAGCATCTTCAAATTAGAGAAATCATTGAACATAGAGAGTATCATGGAGTGATTTATAATAAAATTCCTAATTACAACTGTATATCCAACAATCACTATTATCCAATGACATTCATTATAGGTGATTTCATTTTCCTCGGTATTCTTAGCTGCATAAATATTCTTCAAGACAAGATTAAGCGTATGCATAACACATGGTATCTAGAAAATATGAGGATATTCTTGCTCTACAAGTAGACTTGCAGCTCTACAAATAGGTGCATTATCAATAATGACCTGGATAATGTTTGAAGGCCCCACCATCATGATAACTTCTTTGATTAAATTAGAAATGAAGAATTTATCCTTGTACTATCCTTCACAGTTTACAGCTTTGATAAATATAGGATAGCTCTCTGTTACAGTCATGAAGTTGATAAGTGGTCTTCTTTGTGGATCTGGCTCCCCATCACAAACCAAAGTAACTCCTTTTTTCTTTCAAACTCCTCTAGTAGGCTCTAGCAACTTCTCAATATTATCCCGCTCTCTTTACAACAACTTCGTTCTAATGACTTTATATCCAGGTGGCACATATCCTGCAAGATTATTATTGTATGCATAGGTAAAGACATTCTTGTAATGTGGATTTCTTATTAGGTTAATAGGAAGTCCAGCTGAGTAAAACATTCTAGCTATTTCCCCATCTAATTATTCTCTCATTTGTAAATTAAATGCTTCTCCAAAGCACTATCTATAACATGGTTTCTTCTTTTTGGTTCAAATCCCTCCATTTGAAAAGGCCCCTTATTAATAATAATATCATCACTTCTAATTGAAGAAGATGATGAAGGATATGAAGCATGAGTGCTTAGAAGTGAAATATGTTTTGGAAGGTCTTTTTTACTCCTTTGCTCAGCTTTACTAATTTTTCTTTGTAGTTCAGCCATTTTTTATGGGCTTATATTTGAGCATACCTTAATTCTATGACCACAAATCTTCAACAAATGACCTTTCACTCTATAATATGATCCTTTGTATGTGTCATTACAAAAATTGCATTAAAATATAATATTGCCACCCCCTTCTGATGTTTTACCTATTTTTATCAAATAACCCCACAGAGGTTTGTTATCTTCAATAATTATCTCTAATGAATCATTAGTAGACCCAATTCCCACACCACTAAAGCTCATTATCCTACGAAGGATTGACACAAATTAATCCACGTGAATTTGAAACATGAAAATTTTTAATTGAAAGTGTAGATATGTTGCGCCTCTACCGGGGGTCCAAGGGGGAGCACCTCCGAAATAAAATTTTATTATAAGAGTTATTTTAAAGTTTTTTCTACCTTCTTGGTATTGCTTTGTACCATTCGGTACCCCTCTGTACGAAGCAGTACCGAGCGATACCAAGTTTTAGTACCGAGCGGTACAGAGTTCCTGTACCGAGCAGTACTGAGCAGTACCAAGTGGTACTGAGTACTGAGTGATATCGAGCAGTATTGAGTAACTAGCAGTATCGAGCAGTACTAAGAAATACCTAGCTGTACCGAGTACTGAGCGGTACCGAGTTCCGAGCGGTACCAAGTTTTAGTACTGATCCTATAATTAAGAAAACGAAGAATGAAGAAAATGAACCTTCAATGCTCACGTCGCCTTCACTGTTCAAATTGTCGAGTCGCTCCATCGACGAAGGATTGTGTCGGCTTTAATGCTCGTATCGTCGAGCCTCTCTATCGACGAAGGAAGATCTTGTTAGCTTCTATGCTCACGTCATCGAGCTGCTCCTTCGACTATAACGAAGAAGACGAACAACTGTGCGGAAACAAAAAACCTAGCTGGCCTAAATGTTTAAGCCGCATAAATAAATAAGGATATTGAGCGGATAGTCAAAATGAATAGGGCAAATTACGACTCAATTTTTTTAATAGGACACACATATTCGATATGTGTGTCCGATCAAATTTAAATAATATTTTAATTGGACATGGTATAGCCATATCTAACACGTATCCGTGCCGTATCGGAGGCGTATCCGTATCCGACACGTATCCGATACAACATGCCTCATAAATAGGCATATCCGTGCAACATAAATTTGGATATATATATATATATATATATATGAAGGCAGCATCAGCATATGTCTTTCAGAAAAATATTTGTTGTGCGCCCCTTCTCTCTAGGGGAAAGTAGGGTTTCTCCTATGCTGCCTTCTTTGCCACTAAGGAACGTTCACCTGTCCTCCACTCTTTCCCTCCATGTTCATGAATCTAAATGACTTTCCTACATTAATTGCCTCATCTCTTATGGGTCCACCAATTTCTTCTACTATAATATGGGCTAATAACTAACACGGAACCTGAGGGGCTTGATGAATCCACATTGACGATTCAGTGACGGTCGTCAGTTACCACTCCAAGAACTCCTTGGATCAATAATCCACCACCTAAGATCACTCTTAGGATACATGAATCCAAAACAACAAGGCAAAAGCCTTCATTTTCTTTATTCTTTAAAAATCTACCTCATTACAATTAATGACTATGTATTTATAGACAAACCATAACAACCTAGTAGGCTACACATAACAAAAGAAAGTACTAAATCTATGTAGCCATATAAGATACCAAATGGAATGACACTATCCTGAAGTTAATATAATTAATTGCTAAGCTCCGGCATCATTCAACCAGGGTAGGTGGAACTTCATGCTCGTGGAAAGATGTCCGATTGGCCACAAGAAGGAGTCAGGTTTGGTTGGCTAAACTGGTCTGGATAGGTCCATCCGGTATCGACTTACCTAACAATCTTCAATCTCTCAAGAGTAGCATAAGCAGATGTAATACTTGTGATTGAGAAAGCATCTTCATCTATTAGATCGTCACAAATATAAACAAGCAACACGTCCTTGCAATATACGAATCCAAGAGACTTTAACAGGAACTCCATGGCATTAACATTTCTTGTAAATTCATCTCCGCCAT